CTTGCATCGAAGGTAATCATTTTAAGGCATTTCAGTTTCAAACATCATACAGTAGCCTGAGAGTTAAAACAATCAGAACCTCACATAATTGCAGAGGAGATCTGGTGTTTGTATGCTAACTTTTGCACTAAGGACGAACCATATTAACAAAACCAAAGGCAACATCCACCTGGATGTGGATTAAAAAAAAAAAGCCTCTGATTTTTACGTTCAACTCTCAAATTGAGATGGTGTATGTCACAAGCATCCTCTCCTACATCCAATAACACTCACGCACCCTTGTTTAAGAGTAACGCTGAATGCCACCTCACTGCACCTCTTTTCAGCCCCTTGAATTTACTGTGTATTATAAAAGATCTACATTTGTAAAGGGCATAGTGTGTTAAACCATCACTGTATTGTAATGGTATCAGGATTGCTATTGTCAAAATATCAAAGCTGTTCTACCTCAGCACACAAAAATCAGAGAGAATATCTGTGTGCTAGACTCTCCAGTAGGCTCTGTGAATGCCGAATTGTTCTTGGAGTAGGCATTTTCCCAAAAGGCAGCAGAAAATTTAAACAAGGTTGGTTTTTCGAAGCCTGACGATACTAACAATCCTGTAAGTAAAAAGCGGTGTGCTAACATACTCTAGTACTATCACCATGCCTGTCTCCCGTGTTGTACTGGGAAATTCTGACTTCTACCAAGCAGATTTGCAATACAATCCCATTTTGCCTGCCCTGGATCCCAAGTGTAATCAGGATTCCCTGCTTCTACATTCCATTGGCAAAGAGACAAAGTAGTGCTGCTCCCTGCAGCTGCATCTCTGTCTCTTCCCCTCTCCTTAGACAGGTCGACTGTGAAAAACTGGGATGCAGCTCAGTCCATCCACGATGAGAATGCAGGATGGAGACAGTTATGAACACAGGTCAAACCAAAGCAAGAGACAGCCATCTCTGGTACTACTGGTACCCACTGAGGTAATCTGGTCTGAGACTAGGACTCAGCCAGCCTACAAGATTCTGTAATCTTTTGATATCATGGGTTTGACTAAGAAGTCAAGGTATTTTGTTTTGCTTACATGCTTTAAGTACATTCCAGATTGTAAGACACTTGGACACTCTGATGATACTAAAGAGCACTCAGCATTGTATTATCTGAGCACTCCAGAGTCTTGAATGCCATCATCCAGAGCTGATGCTCTGCTGGGGTACTCCTGTTAACCTCATTTCACTGACGGGGAACTGAGGTACTAAGATTCAGAACAAGAGCAATGAAAGTACTTGAGTGAAACGGTACTGAGCTTCTTTATGGGTAACTGGGGAATGCAAAAGGCTAAGTTAGGACCATATGCATTGTGCACACAAAAATGAGACACATACCCAGCTGAGCTGCTGGGCTAACTATAGGTGTGGTTGAAAGATAGGGATTTATTAACAGTACTTTTCCCCCTGCACTCAAGGTAGGTATGTTGTTTCTGGGTACTGAGGACTTTCTTTTTTGTTGATGTTGTTGCTAAAACCAGACAGAAGGTAAGGAGATGGTGTTTTCTCTATGAAATAACATAAAAAGACACTTTTGATGAAAACCTATGTAATCATATTCCATATTTTGACACCTGAATAAGGCCTAATTCCCACTTCAGGTGAGTGTTTTTTCGTGAATTTAGCTATAAGGGTGCTGTCAAAATTGCACATATCAGCAGCAATAAAAGGAACATCTCAAACCCAGGTGTTCCAAGTGTTACATTTGTGCCCTTCACCATGGAGACATTTCTCTTCCATCTGCTTGAATGGAGTCATGTATATTTAAAACAGCCTTTCTAAATAACGTCACACTTGCACGTCCTGGATTTAGACCTGAAGTCTTGCTTGTAGTCTTTCTATACCAAGAATGAACTGTGCCACCTCCTAATGTCTATAAAATTTAGGACAGTGCAGAAGGGGGCAGGGCAGAACCTTAGAAGAAAAGAACATGAAATTCAAATCAGGCTGAAGAAGTGAAATATTTCCAACAGAGAAATTAACAGATTTGCTTAAGATAACAGGGAGATATGGCAAACCAGCTCTTCAAGGACAGAGAGCATTTTTTTTCACTTAAAATTCCAGCCTACATTCTCTGATGAACATCTTGTCAGCATAGCACAGGCTTCTTGTCAGTGCTGCTCTTGTTTCGGTTTGTCTTCCTCCTGGCTCATATAAAGTCCAAAGTAATTTTATTCACCTGTCCAGGCTAGGATCCAAAGCTCTGACATTACTGTTATTCCTTATCTTCTTCCAGTGCAGATAGGTAAACATTTCCTACTTTCTCTCAGAAACAAAGCTGAAGATCTGCTTCATTCATTGACTTTCAGGGAAAAAAGAAAAATCAAAATCTTCTCCTCACTAAAGTGATACGGGAAAAATCACACAAGAGCATGCAAGTGGTGGCCTCATCCCCTGCTCTGCAGTGCTGGATCCACCCTTTATGAATGATCCAGAGACATACTTGAATAGTACGCATGTGAGGATCTCAAGATTGCATCCATCTTAAAAATAAGGCATGGATTTTGCCATGCAATTAACATCCAAAAATCTCAGAATTAGTAACAGATGTTTAAACTTTTGGTGATTAGCAGGTAGAATAACAAACTATGCTTCCTGCATCACTATTTTACCATGTATTACCTAAAATCTGAAGCCAAGACCTAAAAACCTCCCTTTGAAAAACATTGTGCTCCATGTAAAAGCATGAATGTATGAGTGCTTTGCAGTATCTTGCCATTTTACTTCCTCTGAACTGTACAAGGTCCCATGAAAACCACCCCGCATGGAAGCCACAGTTGAAGCAAATAAGTTAAATATTACACTATTACCCTATGCATTTCTAATACATGTAATACAGTGAGACTCCAAAATAGTGATCCTAGTATCTTTATCATACACTAACATGTTTCCCATAATACTCTTTTTCATTTAACCTGCCTTTTTACTGCAGTAATTTCAGTTTAAAAATATCCCTGTAAAAAACTGCCCTGCAAGGTAGAGACTGATACATTTTTCATGATATTAAAAAGATCTGGATATAAAAGATGGGTTTCATTTTTGTTATTTAAGACTATGAAAGCAGGCCAGAACTAACACTGGGACTGAAGAAGAAGTAATTACAAGAAGAAGTAATTCAGCAAGAAGACCCGGGGTCTTCCCAACTTCAGGCAGTGAAAGTACCACCTGCTTCAGAAAGGCCACCCTTAGGGAACTGAAAATCCACATAATTCATTCTGAAAGGCTCCCACTAACACAAGTAACTTCTCTACTTAGCCTCTTGTCTTCATAAGTGATTTACAAGTATCCAAGATTGAGAGAAAGCACCTTCACTTAAGCGATGGGCTGCTGAAATGATGCCATGTTGAGAGGCGTGTCATTATTTGTTTTATTCTTGAACCTCGCTACTGAATTTATTCAGTTTACTATTCAAAGCAGTCAATCTTGTTTGTTGCTGAAGATGAAAACACTTTGAAAATGCAGTGACAGAAATTAAAAAAGGCAAATATATGCTATGCTTTTCTGTAACAAAGACTTTAAAATGCCTAGTTTGGGGAGTTACTGGTTACTTTTTTAAAGTAATAAAATAATAATTTTTAAGAGTTCAACTCAACAGGAGCTGTTAGTTGTCTAATTTTATCTGTTTGAGAACTCAATAGGGACAGAAAAACCAGTCTGCTTATGTTGGTAGACCTGAATGTCAAAAACAGTAATTTCAGACACTGAGTTTTGCACTCTTTGGTACAAATGCTTCCCATTATTTTGACACAGATAATGGTTAAGTTTGTATTTCCTCAAGGGAACTACAGTAACCGCAGTAAAAACATTCAGGAAACATCTCATCCTCCACTTACACAGAAAGCATTGGTAGAACAGTAGCAAAATCTATCAACAGAAACTTTCCCATCATTAGATTCCACTTCTAGCTTTATTTTGTAGACCGATACATGCAGTTCCTAGCATGAACAGGATCATAAACAGGTATTACTGACTTAGTGCAAGAGATAAGGAATTACAACTCTGTTTTCCAGGGATATAGATGGGTTTGCACAGCCAGACAGCACAGAAAGCGAGGCTGTGCCCACACTTCAAGCCAGGACTGCAGTGCACAGGCATGCTTGTATTGCCATCCAAAGTAACCGCAACAATGTCCAGGGCTGCTTTACCTCCTGGAGTGGCACATGCTAAATAGCATCTCTACATTGTGTGAACTACTGAGATTAAAGCTAGCTCAGATATAACTATATGCTGCCACTTGTTTTGAGATTCATCATGGAAGCTATTTTGTAATGCTAAGTATGCAAATTTTATTTCCTTTCTGGAGGAGCACAGGAGAGGATGTGTGCCTAAAAATGTTGGTATTCAGCTTCCTCTCCCCTATTCTACCAGACTCCTGAAGATGCCATATTTCATCTTATCCAGTGTACACTTACATCTGAAGCAAATCATTTTTCATTTGAACAGTGTAAAGCCGAAAGACTTCGTAGGCAAAGAATATCCTGGTAAAGAAATTGTGTTAAACTATCATCACATAAATATTACTGAAATTGTTAAAACACCATAATCTATTTCTTCTCCAGAGTGTTTCTCACTTGATTCATACTAGATAATAGTGTCAGATTTGTTATCATTTTCTATAGCAACCAGAACCCCCCCCAACAAGTATGCTACCTTTACTACAAAGTAGTACTCCTCCTCCTTATTTGCTCTATACAGTTGTAGCATTGATTACAGAAATACAGTAATATAAAAGTCACTTGGCTGTCTTTCAGAAATTGATAGAATCAGTGCATCCACAAATCTACATTCAAAATGTGATCCGCACATTTCTGGTATATAATGCATACTTGCCTTATTTACAGTTACAGACAACAACAGCATATGCAATAAGAAACTGTTGAGCAAAAAATACCTTGGTAATCAGATGTCCATGAAATTTAAGCCTCTTCAACAATTAACATCCTTTGTAACACTGCTAAAAGCATCAATGAAAATTGAAGTGTGAAAAATGTACATTCTTTATTCTGCTGTTTGGATACAGAATAAAATTTAACTTTTCAGAAAATAGAACTATAGCTACAGCTTTGAGAGCTGTCAGTTTGCTTTTGAGGATAAAGTACATGCACTTTTTCCAGTTACTTTATTGCACATAATGTACAGTCATAAATGGTGTTTTATTTACATGTTTTGGCAATATCCATGTTTGTCTTCCCCCTTCAGAATACATTATTTTGCACAAACAAAACCTTAAGTGTTTCACACAAACTGCCATAATACAAGTCAAAGCATATATGTATATACGTTGTTTGATGTTGCTGTTTTCTCGGTTAATTCTTCTAACATCTCAGTTAATCTTTGCCTTGGGAATCAGATTCCTCCCAGTTAGTCTGCTGTCAAAGACGGATATCTGAACTGCTGGCACCAAGAAGTTAGCACCGCGACCTGCTGTGCCCAACACCCATCTCCTACACAGAACCATACCACCTGCAATTAGTGTGCAGGCACATAGAAGGAAGAGCACTGTACTTTTGTTAACCAGTTTGATTCAACATTGATTACCATGTGTTAATGCTACGGTTCATGTGTTATTTGGACACTATTCCATTAATAGTGTTTAAAAAAAATGTATCAAATCTATTAAAAACATAATGGAGATTTCAAAAACAATTACGTACTTCCAGACCTAGGAATGCGTTACTCAGATTCCATTCTGTACAATGTGCCGTTTATGACGGCTGCTATTTTTACCAAGACACAAAAAATCAGGTTTCGTGTACTTTTGTTTCCCCCAGATTAAAGCGATTTCTTAATGGATGACAACACACTTCCATGTTTCCCTGCATTTTCAGGGCAGAAAGCTTTTTAGTGGTCCCCCTCAGAGTACAATCTAGGAGTAAGCCATTCGTTACATATGGATTTGGGATTACTTTTTAAAGGTATGTTCAAATAAAGTATCAATGTTGTCAGTATACATTTAAAACATTCCAAAGATGCCCCTGAAGACTCTTTATATTCTGGATTGATAGCACAAAAACCCACCCAACAAACTCTTGGAGAAACCAAATTTGTTGTACTTTGCTACAACAGTTCACTTTAAAGATGTGAATAGCACTGCTCAAATTGTACTTTGAAAGGCTCTGGGATGTTTTTGTTTATATTCTGACCTACTGAAAAAAATAACAGATTTACCTTAAGATAAATACCACTTGATTGGATCAAACAGCAATTCTCCAATTGACTTGAATGTATAATCTTTCAAATGTTAGGACAACTTAACCCCAGAATAATAACATAGGACAACCTGGCTTCAGTGATGTACCAATACTGAAGTCATCAATTCAGCTCTAAAAATAACTCATTTCTTTACTATAAGCAGACAAAGTATAAAACAGTTAAATTTTCAGACAGTCACGTAAACTGAGAAATACATCTGGCGGACAACAATAGCTAATATAAAATTTTGACTTTAGAGTTTTCCTTTTTTGCTGTCATTCAGCTTATCAGTACTTCAAAACTTACATCAACCTTCACTACTGCATATAATGAAGAATGAGATGAAAATGCACTGTGGACAAAGTATGACAGTATTTCATATCTAATAAAAATACAAAACAATAAAAATATTACAGAAACGCAGTAGTTTTGGGAACAGAAGTATTCTTCAACATAAAATACTAATCTTTTGTCCCATCTGAATATTTTCACCTGAACTCGAGGAGAGCACTTTACCAAGTTTAGATGTGTGCCTCTGACAAAATTCTTAAGGAACATATACTTTTGACTCTGAAAGGACACTTGTGCCATTATACAACCAAAAGGTCCTGATGTTATCTGTACTAAATGTCTAAATTTATCCTCTCCCTGTGGCTGACTTTTAGGATAGCAAGGTATTCATGATCTGTTAAATTAAGAAAGATTCCTGTACAAGTAAAACTACATGCCATTAGAAAACTAACAGCTTCATCAAAGCTAGACTGTTTTTCTCTATAAACATGCATTCTATTTGAATTCCTACTGTGAGAACTTTTTAAAATAAAAGTTTTATATCACATGGATTTCAAGATATGTAATTTCAAACATAAATTAAAGAAGGCATTTGAACAGATGAAAAGACTCATCTGATTTTTTACGATCAACAAGAGACTTAAGCTTTCACAAAAACTGTTGATATTTGAAGAGTTACCTACACTGAGGATCTCCCTTGACATTAGCTGCAATCACTGTCCAGTTAAGATTACAAATCTGGGAGAAAAACCTGGGGATATGTAAAGGAGCCTCAGGCAGCAGAAGCTTTCAGAGAGAAATGTTTCTGTAAAAATATTTGCATAGATATACATTCAAAACAGCATTTTCTCCATTTCAATTCCCTGCATTCATGTTGCTACAGTCATCCACAGGGATAAAGATGACATAGACAGCCCTAGAATCTGAAATGGCTGTTGCTTGGTAATATAGTGAAAGGTGTATTTTTGTACTTTCTGCAGTCATTAGGAAATGATCTGGTTTGACCTTTGGCTTACAGAAATTGTACTCCCCTGAGCTACGCAATACTGACAGACTATAGCAGAAGTACAAACAAAAGTTCAAAACCGTGTGGCAGGAAGAAAATAAGGCACCTGTGGCAAGGAAAACCTCCAGATTTCAATGTACAGTAATTCTATCTAGAAGTATTTTGTGCTTAGAAATGTCGCATGATGCAACAGTGAACCAGGTGCCAAACCCAACAAATCACAAATTACTATGAGAGTAACTGCAACCTCTGAATGGTTCAACAAAGAATCAAACTGGTTTCTGTACACCATCACGATTTACCAATATACAGGCATCTTTGCTCTTTTGCTGTGAGCCGACAGTAATTATTTTAGAGAGAGAAAAAGAAAGTGTGGAATTAGTAATGCAGATGCTGAAAGGCAAGTGGCAAGACTCTACAAGAAGAATGCCTCAAAAATGCTACTTTGTTCCCTTTTCTACTGGCACCTATTCCCCAAGGTAAAAGGCCAGAATGACCAAAGCCAACTTAAGAGTAGTGTGCAGAATGTCAAGCCGACAAACAACATAAAAACAAGTCACGTTGTGTTATCTGTGGTCACGTTCTTCAGGGTTAGTCCAGTAACTCAAGACTTTACATTCTTCCGTCTTTATTTGTTTACTTTAATTAAACATGTAATGGTTAATAAACAGACATAGTCCAGAGTTAGTAGGTTGGTATTATAACATTTATTAAAATAATGCTATGGGTTAATAGAAACAGCAAAGAACCAAAGAATTTAAATGCAAGCTATGTAAAAACCCAACTAAAACCCAAATATGTCTAATGTATTCATCCAGTAGCTAACTAAAAGCCCAAGAAAGACAACACTCCCAATATAATAAAGTACTGCAAAACAATTGGCAATTTTTCAGTTATCAAAATTGTGGGTTTTGCATTTTGTATCCTTTTTTCTCAATCAGGAAAAAAATTCTTTTGAATGTTATATAACATACATATAAAACAAGATAGAAAAATACATTATAAACTTGTAACAATGGCTGTAAATACATTATCTTACATGTTTCTCATAGGCAATAGGTTGGTTATGGTACATACATTGCATGAAACTACTAAGATAATAAAGAATAGACAAATACATGTCATCTGTACGGTTACATACAAGCGACACTCCCATCTACCCACTCTAAAAAAATTACATAATACTGTCAGAAAGAAGTCTTAAAACTACTTATTTTAATAAAGAAAAAGTAATTAAAGAATGATAATACTGAGAACCAAGGCATTCAGAGATTTCAAAGTCATGCTTTTTTTAAGTTCATCCAAAATTTTGTCAACTAAATTTTCAGAAGTTTGTTTAGAGCAAACATTACTTTCACATGTCACACATCTATTTCATACACTTCCCCTCTGCCCCAGTAAAAGACCTTTGATAAACATCTAAAATGTCCAGGTTTTATCATAGCTGAGATGAAACTGGATCAAATACTGGTATTGTTTTAGCAAATCTCTCTTCAAATGTTTGAGTGTCGCAAGTTTATTCAACCAACCAACCAAAATAAAATCAAAATGGCACAGCATATACTGTAAATAAGATCAACACAACTGTATGTGTAACAGGAAGACAAAGCCAGTGGCACAATAAACAAAAAGCTAGCTGAATACCAAGGATGAATGTCTATTGCATAGTAAATAAACTGATAATTATTTCCAGGTGAGACAAGATGTAAGATGAGGTCACCATGCAGGTGCTTAAAAATGTAAGCCCTCTTAGCTTACTATTGACCTTTCATTTGGAAGCTGTGAAGATTTGCAGGAGGAGAATAAGTTGACAAGAGGGGAATAAAGTTATCACCTGATATTTGCCAAGCTTAGTACTGAGCCCCACACAAAGTAATACTTAATGTTGTCAGAATTAAATACTGTGAGTTCAACAGCTTCAGCTCTTGCAATTGCTCAGCTGTATGAATCTTGTGGAAATAAGGGTTAAAAATAAAGTACAGCTGGACTTCAAACAACTAACTGATGTCTTTCTCCTGCTTATCTTATGAGGAAAACCCAGTGGGCAAATCTAACAATAATTAAGGAAGAACTGAAATAAATAACTTGCATGCTGTTTGTCACTGCAGGAGCTGCTTGTGAAAACCAGGGACATACTCAGACTATCACTGAAAACCAGCTAAGCACTTTCGATTTCATTACCCACAGAACATCAGTTTTCTGGGTGATGCCACAGCCTACTATATTTGATGTGTATTTATTCCAACTGAAAGCAAAAATACTCATCTCCATCCTTGAACAAAAACGACATACTTCCAGCTCTAAAAACTTTTGTCAGCTAATAGCCTCATTTAGCATGAGACAGCGCATCACAGAACCCTTTGGTTTACATTGCACAAGTATGGCATTTACTATGATTTAAAAAGTAGAGTGGTTGAAATACCAATGGGCTGGTTTGGTAAAACCTTTAACAAATATTTTATGAAATGAGATTTTGGCAAAGTCACGTCACACTAGTTATGGCAAAAATCAGGTAATTAATATGGTCAACTCATCATTTGTCTTCCCTCACAGCTTCTTTCACATACTGGGCGACTGAGTGGCATGCAGTAACTTGTCTGAGGGAGAAGCTGATTATACAAGACATTTGACTAAATGACCATGAAGAAAATAAGGCACTTTCTTTTCTTTAGACTTATTCCAATACTTAAAAAATAAAAAAGAAAGACTAAAAGGCTCTTTTGGTCTTTTGTTTCTTGACAACCACCAGAAAAAATCATTTAATGAAATAAAGGGTTTCTTTGTTCTTTTTTTCTTTTTTTATAACACTTGAAAGTATAAAATGCTACATTTCAAAAAATATATCTTTTTTTTTCTGCACCAGCACCCTTGTATAGTAAAAGTATCTACTTTTTTGTTCATTTTGTTTCAATGCACTACACTTTATCTACAATTTCATTACATGTATACAGCAAATAGGCAAGCATGGCTTTTACATCCTTAATGAAATTTTTTCTATACAGGGAGGTTTTAAAAAAAATATTTGAACAGTTTGCCCAGTAATGTGACACATAATGCATGTACCTTGTTCTCATGTAATCTTCCGAGGAGATTAAAATATGGTTAAAGTAATTTAACGCAGATTTTGTTTTAATAGTGTTGCTGTTTTGTTCTCTGCATTAACGTAGCTCTAAAAAATCATCGTCATCTGCATTTCATGGCACACTTTCCTTTAAAATGTCCAATTTGGCAGGCAATAGAAAAAAAGGCTGCAACATCTGCCCTTTGAGGGCACCGGTAGTGACTAAACAGCGTATCAAATTTTGAATACTTTTTGGAATCCCTTCCCCAATGACATCCCTGACCAAAGGTTCATGCATGATGCATCATCACACAGTACATTCAGAGAGAGCTTTGACTTCCTTATTTTAGTTTTTCTTTTTTTTTATTATTTTTTTTTCTGAGAAGAAAAATATTCCTAGAAGTCTCTCACAGTAACTGCCTCTGTCATCGGGTAGTTAAGGGACATCTGTCTCCATCTCGTGTGAGGCCTCCTTACCGTTCGCCTGGGGCAGGACACTAGAGGATGATCAGTGCGGAGGGATGAGTTGGACCTTATTGCTTTACTACTATTCAGTGCAGGTTCTAGAACCACTTTCACCCAAACAGGAGAACAACAAAAAGCGAAGTTGGAGGACAACAATTTCTTTGTCTGCTTTGTTAGATGGTAAGACGAACGGACAAGTGCCCCAGCTCGCTGCACTGAAGACAGGCAAGCAAAGGCGTTTACCAGTTAACTGATCAGCAGGCAGGCATGGTCAGGTCATCATTGGGTGAAGAGTTCAGAGGTCAGAAGGTCATAGGTTAGTTGCCGGTGGCGGCTGGGTGGTTAGAAACAAAAAAAAAACAAAACAAAAAAGAAAGAAAAGATAGAGAAGAGATTAGTTCCAGCTAGTGACGGCTTAATGACAACATGAAAACTAATCACAACTAATAAAAACCAAGCATGTTTAATTCTGACATACTGATTGACACCATCTACAGAATGCAATAAAATCATGACAGCCCTCCATCATGATTTGGACACGTGAAGGAGAAGCCCGCTCCCACAAAACCGGTTAACAGGAGAAATAGAGATAAAATACAACTATCGACTAATGGTTAGTAGCAGTCGATGAAGGAAATTGGAAAACAAAAAACAATGAACAGTTTTGGAACTGGGTAGAAGATTTCTGGAACAACAGTCAGTGCACAGCATCAGTATCTGACTGCTATTAAGCATTAGTATCTCCCCAGGTGCAAGCATTAAAGCAACTATTAATGATGGATGTGATTATTAATAACTGGTTGTTAAAAGAATGGAGTCATCTAAGGAATTCTGGACTTAGAGAAACAATTTGGATCAACAAACTATGGGCCAAACAAAGGGTTTTTGTTCAATAAATTTTTTATTGCCTTTCATTTATTCTATTTACAAACAACATGGAATTTCTTGGCCTCATGATACAAAGCAATACTAAACTGTAGTCTAGCAACGTAGGCATCATCGTGGGAACCAGGAAAACGCTCAGCCTTCTACTTTAGCCAGCATTTTCCCGTTCAAAATACTATTTTACACATATAGGACACTTATAAAATGCACTTGCATGTAAACACTGTAAAAGTCCTGCCATTTTAAAGTCTATACTTAAAAGCTCTAAGTACATCAAAAAATAGAGAAAATATCTAATTGGTACTAATAAGGCATTTTAAAACTACAAACAGCTCTCTTTATTCATTTTCAAAGCTAATACTCTGCAAATACAATAGAATCTGACATTTCATATACATTCCTGCTTTATATTTTTATATTTTAAAAGAAGCCACCTGTAAATACTATTTTCTCTTAAAAACAAAAACCAAAACAAAAAAAACCAAAACAAAACAAAAAAAACCAAAACCACAAACAAATTACAGTAAAACATAAAAAAGTTCTCAAGTGGAAAGTTATCATTCCAAATGTTCTGGAGCTGTTCCTTCTTTAATCATTCTCTCACATTCCCCTTCACCAAACTTGGTCCACTTAACAGTAGTATGATTTTTTTTTTATTTTTTTTTAAGACTCATTCAACAGCTTAATTATAGCTAAAATAAATTCTGAGGTTGATATAAGTTTTTGTACTGTTGCCATTTTGACTAAGGCAGAGGAGATGAAAGTGAGAAAGGTATTCAGTGCAAAGTCAGATTTGTGCCATTACATAAAATGAAGTCCAGTAGGTGTAATATTCACAGATAGCATTGATTTAGCGATCCTTCTTGTGGGCTAATTTACTTTCACATGATAAAAATGGCCTATCATTTAAGATACAGTTCATAACGCTACAAAAAAATTACTACTGTAACATAAATGAGACCATATGCTCCCTGATTTTTTTCAGAATCATGCTAAGTGGGATTCCTTTAAATTAAAACGGCTCTTTCAAAAATAAGCAAAAATAAAAATAAATATCTTATGTGGCACAATCTCACCACTTTACAGGTATACTAGAAACAGACTCTTAAAGCATTTTGATACTGATTACAATTTTGATTAAATGGTATTAAGATTTATATATAAATTATGCGAAAGTTGGTTTGGATAAAACATTCAAGAAAACTCTTAGCATTAATATTTCTTGTGGAGTTTATAATCAAAGCAAGCTACCTTTTAAAAATACCAGTACACCTGTGATACATCCTCTGCCAAGTCTCTGGCCTTCTACAGTACACACAGGTTTCTCAACTGTGCAACACCATTTACAGTTTATTACAATTAAATCAGTCAGTCTCTCTGTTACATGCATCAAATTCAACTTTGTATTATTTATAAACTGGGGAGTTAAAATGAGCTATTTTTTTTAACCCTTCACCAATTCTAAATGCTTAGTTGTAAGAGTAAAACATTTACACATTTGGGGATTCTTGCTTTAAATGCAGTGCTTATCTATTAAAAAAAAAAACCCAAACCCTATGCAAAGAATAAAACCTACTTAAAAAGTGAATGCAGTAGTACTACAAAGTCATCTGAAAGTGGATTTAGAATTTAAAAACCCAAACATGAAAACAACTTTAGACCCAATGAATGTGAATATAGATTTAGTAATATTTAACTATATTAAAAAAAAAAAGTTCTGTATTGAAGAAAGAAAGAAAAAAAAAAAAGCATTTCGGTTTGCTGACATTGTTTTTCATGGCTACAGCTATAGAAGTATATTGGTGACAGTACTACCAAATAGGTGGATATTGTAAATACTGATAGTATTTTAATTCTACAACATAATTTTAGCACATTAAAAGAAACTGTTTCATTGCTGAAGTTCTCTTCAAAACCATCGTGAAATTTAAATCTGTGCACTGAAATCTACGATGTCAAATTCAAAATACAATGAAGTACAGTTGCAAAATTAATTTTGTGTAAATTTCTTAATACACACTGGGATTATTTAGACAAGACTTCAAAATAACATTCTCCTGAAATATCAGCATGGTTTTCATGCTAAAGGAGAGGTATGCATGACTTACTCAACAGGAGGTAAGCCATGTGTATTTATCTACCTAAGACAGTGAGCTTGCAATATTGAGAGATGAACACTATCATCAGAAATTGGCTGTATTTTAAAAGGTGAAGTGATAACAATAACTGTTTTCAATTACTTGTTAGTGATTCAGATGAAACATCTAGGCTCTTCGCAAAGTATTTAAAATCAAAGACAACCAAATCCCTACTATCCATTACTCTTGACAGAGATAGGTTTTAACCTTTTTTTCTATTTAATTCCCCGTCCCTCTTTTTTCTTTTGGTAAACATGGGCTATGATTATACCCTGTTGCCCACTGAATAGTTCTCAAGAAATGAGAAAAAGCCAATGGGCTGTAAATAGTGTGCAGTGATATAAAAGAAGAAGCAGTCTTCCAGAAAACTTAAGTAGTGTATTGTTCTCAGCTTTACACTTTCTGTAAAGCCTAAGATCATATGCACAAATATAGCAACTATCCATTAGGGCCCTTCTTACTGTATTGCCTGAAGTCTGTATTGTTTCTGTAGTTAATTTATGGAAGGTTGTGAGAAGTGTAGTCAATGTTAGGAGATGTCAGACCTGTCACCAGGATTTGGCTTTTGCATATTACAGTATCATGGAAGCCTGCACAAGACTGATTTTGATGAGAGCAGAATAATAATACTTGGCATGTAACGCTTTGCATCCTCAAAGCCCTGTACAAAAAAAACAAGAACCCCCACAACACCCCTGTGAGGTAGGGAAGTATTATTATCCTTGTTTCACAGATGGGAAAACATACACAGAGAGATTAAATGACTTGCTGAAACCCACAGTGAGTCAGCAGCAGGGATGAGATAAGAATTCATCCCACACACTGCTTCCTAAGCAATGTCAATAAACCGAAAATATCACTTTTCTCAATAAGCTTAAATACTTCATTCAGGGGTCCAAAGGCATTACACTTGAGGAACAGGAGAAAAATGAAGATTTACTTTCCATTCAAGGGTTAAAGAGAGATGCCCAAATATTGGATGTCATCTCACCGACAGGACTTCAAAAGTTGCTTCTCCTTCAGGTTACACATTTTAGCAGCAAAAGGCAAATACCAAGAAATAGATTTTGGCAAAAAAACCAAAACACACTCCCTTCCTCCACCCTTAGTAATTCAAACTCAAACAACTTTTGAAGTATTATCTTCACAGCCCTTACCTTTCTGAATTCAGTCAGGTATCTGAGAACATGCATCCTCCTCATAATATACAGTACAGTGGCTCAAAAGTTTATTGGAAAAAAAGGAATCTAAATCTTCAAATTTCTCCAGACACAGACAGGAGGCATTTATTCCTTTACTTCTTTCTCATTAAGCAACCATCCATTCATTTTATTTTGCAACACCAATCTGATATTTCCACACCAATTAAAAGAGCAAATTGGGGGAAGAAAGGGGAAACACGGCCAAATTAATTACTGTAGTACTGAATTCTTAGCATTTTCTGATACAGATGGATCTTTAAACAGTTTTTAAAAGGGAATCAGTTATATAACTTATATTAAATGTATCACAAAGCTTATCTACTTAATTGAGCTGGGAAAGCCAAGTTTACAGAATGTTTTTAAAACCACAAGCATTCCCAAAGCTTTAAATTATGAACTGTTCATATTTTGGGGAAAAATAATGAATGGGTGAAAACCAGATATTTGGTTAACCAGCTGTGGTGTTGCAAATCTCATGTACACTCAAAGCACTTCTTACAAACAAGAACTGCAGAACTAAACTAACCTCGGTCTGCGGTCACAATCCTTTGGTAAGGATGGACACGCATATCGTGCCTTCGAACTTTAGTAGCCACCGCACCTAGTTAAATTGCAATTACCAAGACAAAGTTAGAAAACATTCAAAGAAAACATTAACAGCAGGTTTATCAAAATGGATTTAAATGATCATTAACTACAAAAGTTCATTTTAAGAAAAGCAACAAGTTAAGGCACAGTAGTTTCAAATCTTAATCTTAAAAGGAAGTTTATCTGTGCAGATTAATATTGCATTTATTTTAAACATCCTGGCCTTAACCTGTTTAATCCATTCATTTACAATCCCAAAATTACAGTATTTCATGAAATCTATTAGACCCAAGCACATTTAAGCTTTACTAGTCACATATTCACTGAAGTGCCTTTCTTGCAGCAGGACTATTTTAAATAATGCCATCTTTTAATACTGACAATTATTTGCTAACCTTAAGATCACTTCCAGTTCTACCACAAAAAAGTTTTAAAGCAATTCTTCAAGCCTACAGATTGTGATTTTAAACTTTAAGTCAATAAGTATGAACTGCAATGAATTAGGTGATTAGTAAAGCAAACACTATATAGAACACTTAGCAGTCAGTATACTACTATACACTCATAAATTACAGCTACTCTGTAATAATAGGAGCTAATCCAAATTAATAGCACTATTTTATTTTAAATCTATGTGCAAAAAAGTGCAAGTAAGTCACTGACTGCTAGGCCAAGCTTTTTTCAAGGCTGCTGAAAACTAAGCATTTGTTAAAATTCAGATCTGATGAAGGATCAGTTAAGACCGTTCTTGAATTCTTAGCCTTTCGTTGGGAAAGCCATACCTGAAGATAAAAGGAAGGGAATTGAAAGTTAGTCACCAACTAAAATTTGATCCCAACACCAATATCCCCAGAATACTAATAGGGATGCATTTCTCTGCCATTTTAGAAATAATTTTGATAAGACATCTTAAAGGTCCACCACAAAAAATGGACAAAATATACTAGTAATGAGAATGAGCATATTATAAAATAAAACTCAGTAAAAATTAATTTAATTCAGTTAACTCTATACAATTGCTCAGATAATAGAGCAGATGTATGAAGAGCTACCGATTTAGTGCTACTTAAGCAAAAGTGTGGTCTTCCCCCCACTCTCTCCCTGCCTTTTCCTATTTTAAATACGATTATTTGGTGAGATCTGTTTTGGTCAATACACCTGTGTTCTCACAGCTAAGCCCAAAAAGAATGCAATGGTTTCAGACACCATTTTCAGAGTAATCTTCCCCACTCTTGATAAAAAATTTTGAGAGAAATAAAAAATTTCCCTGTATCATATTCAATTATTATTATGGAATAATGTATTTCTTTACTCGCTATTAACCTAATCCAGGAGAGGACTTTGCCACTAACCAGCAACTGACAGCTACTGCTATGATCCCTGTTACTGTGACCTGATCCCATGACATATTCCAAGTGGACTTGCGGACTGGGGGTAGAGGAGCTCAGGAGGATATTTACATGTTTGTAAAAAGTAAATAAATGATGACATCATCATATGCTCACCGAATTTTGGCTATGGGGTAGCTGACAACTATAAGCGGATTAAAGACAGACCTTCTGCATACATTTGTCCTACTATATTTATATTTTGTCCTATTAATATTTTAAAATATTATAATTTTTATTATTGAGTCACTAATCCTGAAAGGCAGAAGTCTGAAATACACTTTCTTTTTTACTGTAAAAAATGTAGCATGGGAGCATGCACATATACAGGTAACTCAACAAGTTGCCACGTAAGTGAACAATTATTTTTTCAAAACTTTCAACAAAATACTGACTTTGAACATTACTGTCTAGTGTTCATTAGAGATGTTTAGAATTTGTTTAAGTCAATAACTGCCACTGAACAAACTAAGATCAAAGTCCTATAAAATCAACATTATGCAGCACCAAGGTCATACACAATTCAGAACAAATGGAAGAGAAAGATTATTTAGATTGTGTAGAGGGTAGAGAAGAAAGAAACTCTTGAACTCCTTGTTTCATATTGACCAGTTAACTGCACTGCGATGGCTGCTTTATCATTCTTGCCTTCACACAGCAAGTGAATCACCTGAAATATTAGGAATGATGGACATTTCAACCCAATGTATGTAAAAAAAGCCATCAATAAAATTGCTAATTGTGTCATCCTTTATATTAATTCACTGAAATTATTTTCTGGTTACAAACTGAAAAAAGACCCCTCCAGCTTTACTGCTGAAAAGGAATAGCAAAATAGGAATTTTCTCATCCAAAGGTTACTGGACATTAAAATTTATGTTAAAGAGAGCACAAACAAATCTGGCTATTCACAAGAGCCAAATGACATATAACAGATATCAACTCCTTAGGTTTGGGTTTTTCTCCTTGTCTATCTACCATCCAGCATCATGCAAACGTTTTCTTTTCAGTAGTCTTATTAACATACTAAACACACAAACATTTTAAATATGTTTTGCATTAACAGTTGCACCATGTGAACAGTTTTCCTATGTAGTTTTGATATACCTGGAATAAGACTGTTGCTTCAATTTTTTTTTTTTTTTGAGCCCCATAACCTCTACCTTGCAAATATCATAAAAGCATAAGCAATTTATTCTCCAGTCACCTGCATACAAAGGTCTTACCTAATACACCACTAGGCTCAATAGGATACTCAAGGATTGATGTAGCTGGTGCCAGCGTGTAGGGGTATTCATATGGTGTGTAAATTAAACCAGCTTCGGGTCCGGGTGGAACTATTGCAGCGGTGGGATGAGGAGTTCCATTTGGCATGACAGCGGTTTGTATTTGTCTGATCAAAGGCATTATGGTAGGGCCAGCTGGCGTAGGAGTACGCAGGGCAGCTGGTGGGAGAACAGGCGCAGGCCCGGTAATAATCCTTGGAGCCTGGGCTGTTGCTGCAAGAGAAAAGGCAAGGGCTGCTACAGTAAGCAAAGAAATTCAGAGGAAAGTATGGAGATAGCAGTACAAAACGTGGAAAGAATGGGAAAAAAGGGGAAAAGTAGGAAAGAAGAAAAATAAAAGGAAATCATTAGTACATGCGCTGATCACACAGTGCCAAAGCACACCATTCAAATGCAAACAGCTTTCCATTTTCCAGTGTGATTAAGTATGAACATGCAAAATAAAAAAGCCATTATAAAACAGTGAGGTAGATTTCTCAAACAGGTTACACAGCACAAAAGCTCCATTTTGACCATATTTCTTCATTTATGCTATCAAGACTGCATGAGACTGAGATGCATGCAGGAGATACGAGGGAAATACTGTCATAATCAGAGTACAAAATTTAGTGCCACTATAGAGTCCACAGATACTCAGTTATGCAGAGCTGCCCTATGAATCTACAGTTCTTACATGTCTTAAAAGTGTATTTAAACATATACACAGTTCCAGTTTCCAGGATCAGTGAAGTTAAAGATGATCTAGAAACAAAATGCATCCCCCTCTCCTGCTCTAGCATGAAAAAACAAACTCAGAAATGGTTGATTTCCTTATCAAATTCCCCAAAATAAAATACCTGCTTTGTATTAGAAGAAAACAGGCATTGGGTTCTTTGGTTTTGTTTTTTAAACTGTGCTAGCACATTTCACTGCATGTTATTTGAAGCCTGCTGGTACACAAGATAAACTTCTTAAACACTAACACATCAGCTGCTAACAGCCAATCTTAAAGGGTTATAATTTATAGATTTCTGTGCACTGCTGACAATCTACACTGATTCCATTAACTTATAGGTGGTCTGAAAAGAGAAATGTGGTGGTAGTTTTTCAGATTTGAGACTGTTTTGTTTAAAAAATTAAAATATTTAAAAAATCACAAGTGCTCAGACTGAATTCATAATTAAACAAAACAAACACACCCTCCAACTTTTTCACTTTCTTTCTTAAATGGAAATAAACCATTACTGCTTCTAGACCCTCAAGTTTTCAGTAAGATCAAAACACAAACAGTGAAACTATTATCAGAAAAAGTGAGTATGAGTGTGGAAATTTCTAGTTAAAAAAAAAATTAAATATATCTCAATCTTCCCACTTACACTGATAAAAATAGACCAGTGGGAATACATAAAAGAAATTGTTCCAATTAATACAAAGGTTTCTATGCAATAGTTTGCATCAATTTCAACTAATCCAAAACCATTTTACTCATAAATTTGCAATAATTTAGAGACTAAAATACAGTTAAAACTCATCTATCTTTAAATATTGCAGTATTCACTAGGGCTGAAAGATTTACCATTACCATTGTAGTGGTAAAAGCCCTTGCTTATGTCTCTTTTCAAATCTGAATAATTACACTGGTGTAAGCAGTCTCAAATTGACCTAACTGCATTCCAACCTTTAAACATATTCAACGTTGAAATGGTGACTGTGTGGAGAAACAAACTTGCAAATATCAGTAGGCCCTTAGTGAAAAGACTGATTTAACTGTGCTTATATTTGACATCTGTATCGCAGCTACAGCAAAATTTACTTTGGAACAGTATCAGCAGCTACATTTTCAGGAGGAGAAATTAGATTTTCCACTAGAGAAAATAGTTTGTATCACACATAATAGGTATACACTCTCATTAGTAGGTGTATTTAATTAATTTTCAAGTGTAAACCTGTGCATACATGCATTTGCAAAAGCATTTTCACACAAATGTAATGGAAGAAACTGTAAAAATGGCTCATTACATCACTGATCCCTGTGAACTCAGCTGTGAAATCAGTTGATGAATTGCTGGAAAAACGTAACGTTGGGGGGACACATGCAAGCAAGATGAAAGGAAGGAATGTAATACAGAAAAATGTATCCACAGTATTCTGGACATCTGTAACATTTTCAAATTACATCTCTAAAGATAAAATTGAAAAGGAGTCTATTGTCCTTTATATGCATTTAAGAAAAAAAAATATTGTAAAATAGAAAAATCTGTCTTAAGGGTTGAATTTTTTTTATCTATATATTTGTAAATATTTCAACCGAGACATACTGTTAAAAGAAAGGGGAGATGATGGACTAAACAAACCCCCCCAAACTAATAGAACTTATCTCCAGAAGATCTTTTGCAACAGCTGCCTACTGTTTTGTTGGGTTTTCACTGCTTTCTACTCTCAAACACAGCTGCTACTGCACATTTGCCAAAAAGTAGCTTTAGGAATCAAAACCAAATCAAATATTACTATGGCATTGACCCTTGAAGTTTATGACATGCTTACGTGATTTGATGTTGGCATCTCTGTAGGTGCCATTCAGAATTGCAAGCTCCATCAGCTGCATCTTTTTAAGGCTGTCTTCTCCTTCTGCCTGCATGTGAAGAGACAGGAAAAAAGACAGGCTTATTAATTTACTAGTGCACAAGATCTGAGAGACCTAGAATAAAATGCCTTCAAGTTTTAACCAAGCAAATTACCTGCTTATCGTTAGACACAAACCTGGTAAGCTTTGTCAGTTTTTCCTTAAAATTAAGTGAAAATTGCCTGTTGTCTATCATTAAGTGGTGTTGATAAATACCTTAAAAGTCTTGAAAAAGGCTCACACCATAAATTATAAAAACAGTTAACTGTAAGCTGTGCTTGATGGAAATTGTTTCTCAAGGTTCCAAATTTTTTTCTCAAGCTTTACTAATTGTTTTTTATGTACTCCTGAAGGGATCTTTTAAAAACTTATGTTATTGGGCTGGAGGGAGAATAGACACCATGAATTTTAAGCAACTTCAGTTTACTGTAACTTGCTCCACTCTAGTTGATACCAACTACTTAAAATAACAAACTTTGAGTAGCTTTCCAAACAGAACATCAACAACTGCTCTAAGGCAGAAATCATAATTATGGAACATGTAGATGTATTCTTGTTAGGATATAATTACTATTTGCATAGCATACATTATTCTTGGTTTGTCATCAGTACACATTACTTCCCTGGAGTTACCTAATCCATTGCTATATAGTAAAAAAAAAGCTAACTTTTTCAGTTACTAAGCAAAAATATTTCTGATTAGTACAATTTTACTTTCAAGACCAGGCATTTTCTGATCGGCCTTTCCAGAAATACTATCCTTTGTTGAGTCTGTATCCTATGAAGCAGAAAACATGATCATGATACAAGAAACCCAAGAGAGATGGTCAGCATCTAATGTTAAGTTACTAGCTTGCTTTTTATACTGAATGCCACTGCTGAAATTCTCAGTCAGATGGAAAAGAGCAGCTTCAGTGTCAGCTGCATTGCAGTCTTCCTTTGCTAAACAGGATTTCTTATAGTTTTGCTTATCTCGTCTATTCACACAATGTTTTTTAGATATTTGAAACAGCACTTTCCAAGTTAATGGGAACCCAGATAATAAAATACTATGCCATCCACTCTGAAAATCTGAAAGTCTGGTTACAGAGAATTATTCACCTGTATAAAACCATAACTCTTATAGTCTGTTTGAACTAGGGCTTCCAAGAGCACAAGTGATTACCAAAAGATGACAGAATTAAAAGCCAGAAAGAATAGCAATCATCACCAATAAGCAAAAAAAGCCCATACCTATTAAATAACTTTGCGGCCATTACAGCAATGCACTAGTGAAACTCTCTCTAGGTTAACAGGATTATTTACATGGGGCCTTCCAAATGTATAGGGAAGTGTTTTTTCAGGCTAGTTTGTAGGATAATGCTATATACACTTTATTCCTAAATTACATGGAACCAATTTACTAAATTACAAGAAAAAAAAAAGGTTTTAAATTGTATCTAAGCAAACACAGTACTTAGTAAGAGGTATGCTCAAGGAACACCACCCCATGGAATGGAAATTTTAACATCTGATTTTTATCAACAACTTCAAATAAACATGATAAGATGGATCAAGACTAAATTACTTTCAGATGGTAGAAACGAAAACTCTAATACTGAAGACTTGCATAAACACAAAGACTACACACAGTGAGAATTAATGTTGTTATTAAACATTCAGAACATACTGGAAGTTAAGATATTTTCTTTAAATAATGTGCAACAATCCAACTTAACACCAACACTGAAAAACTTAAAACACATTCAATTACCATTCTAACAAAAAAAAAAAAAAAAAAAAATATTGTACAGTTAAGTACTGTACCATCCAGAAAGCTCAGACTCCATAGTCATTAAAATGAGACCCTCTGGAACACAAAATGCACTGATTACAGCATGCTTAATATGACATACTCAGAACAGGCTTATAATTTACATGCCAAATAAATTTTCTGTTTGTTTGGTTTTTTTTTTTTTGTTGTTGTTTCTTTTTGTTTGCTTGTTAAGAAACTATTATACCATTGCATCTTTGCAGGTAAATTATGTAGACAATCATGACACAATAAAACCAGTTCCAAGTCTTATCTCCCCACCCAGAGGTCACAAATTCTTGTATTTTGGATATATCTCATCTAATTTATTTTAGCCATAAAGACTTTCTAACACTTTGATTCTTCTTTTCAAAATGGCTATATTTTGTTATTGGCTTTTTGCTTGGGTTCCTTTCTTTATTTATTTAATTGAAAGCATGTAATGAAAAAACTCCTCACAATGTCAGCTGCATCTCCCATATAGTTCCATTAAAGTTACTAAAATTACTCACTTCCTCCAAGTAAGAGTTCTGGTGATTGATCTGACACCATTACTGAATCTCAGTAAATGCTGAGTCTTACATTTCACTTGCTAGGACAATTTTAGTAACTCTAATCCCAGATTTTGCACCACAGTGACTATTTCCCAAATATAGCTATTTATAGGATAATAATTTTAAGATAGAAAACTTTTTTTCCCTTCTGACATCTCCAAAAGAAGGAGTTATAACAACTTAAAGGCAATAAAAGGCGAAGCAATCATTCTTACTTAGGATCTTCAATATTTCCCTATAGATCACTACACTGCCTATAAGAAAGATGTTGCAATTATCTAGGTTTTACAAAGTATATTTACAAAAATAATAATGGACTTCAGCATACAAAGCAGACCACCCTGTACTGCTCAGCAGCTGGTAAAAATTTGTTCTTTTAAACAGATTCCAAAACACAGTTTAAAACTTTTCCTTAAAGACTGTATCAGTGATAATTCACAGACATAACATGTAGACTTGCATTACCAGATATCAGAACTGTATTTCAATTTCTGATATCCTGTTTTTCAAAGCATTTATTAGATAGAGAAAAAAAAACACCACAAACATGCAAAGAAAACAAAAAGCTACTAACCTAACCCCCCAAAACAACAAAGAAATCTCAAATAAAACCCCAAAACCACTTACACCCCATCTTTAATACTGACCACAAGGACATCATTCCGACTCCTCCCAGAAGATGGCACTGTTTATTACACAATACTGTCTCAAGACATGGGTGCTTGGCACTACTCACAACCACCCTATTAGTACTTCTCAAACCCCTGCTATGCCCTCACATCCTAACAGACGCTTGCCACCCTTCTTCAAGGTGTAAGTCACAGAAGTGGGCAGGACCCTTTCAGACATGCTGTCATGACCTTCATTCTCTGGCATCAAGCTCTCTGCTTGAACCTCATTCACCAATAGCCAAACCCCTCAAACTTCCAAGAGCTCAGATAGAGCAATGGGTGCCTGTTTTTGCCTGCCCTACCCTCTTGGTTGCTGATTCAAATGAGGCTCACTGATGCAATCTATCTTAGCTCCAGGCATTGCTTCAGGCACTCTGTTAAAGCAAAGAAAGGTTGCATCAGGGGTACAAAGGCAATCTCTAAAGGGACAGTATATTACCTGTACAATAACTACAACAAAGCTCAGGCATTTGTACCAAAAAGAAGCCACTTTGAGCAAACATCAATAAGGTTATTTAAAGCCAGATTTGCATTACTAAGTTGAAGCTCAAATGATTTACTCAAACCTCTCATCCTCTTAAATCTCCAATGCTTTCCTTGTATTTCTCATGTACAATGTAACACGCAGATTAAGAAAAAACCCTTAAATGGTATCTTGAAACATGATTCTTTAAACGTAAGCACTTGCAACTGCTCACTGAATACAAATACTGAAAAGACACAAGCAGTAAATCCTAAAAAAGCCAACTGTGTACAGACAACAGTGGTGACTGATTTTGGAACAGTGGGCTGTATTCACAGTAGCTCAGCCCTGCCTGGGCTAGCAATAAAAAGACCTGAAGGACACCAAATGCCAGTGACCATTGCAGTAAATTGCTTTCTAATCCTTATCAGAGTAGGATTAATAGTCACACGATTCAAAACGCTAGTAACAACTACACGTTCCCCTCTACACAAAGTCTCTGGGGAAACACTTCCCAAAATAAAACCATTTAAAATGAAATACACAACGCTGACAATACTGATGCCCAGATAAAACCACAATTCCATCACCCACACTGGGCTTCAAACAAAACTAAAAAAGAGGACTGCAGTTATGTAATAAGCTGATGTTAGTAAATGTTTGTTTCATGTCACAAAATGGGGAGCTCACATAAAGCACTCCATTTAATTTTTTAATGACTTTCTTTTCATTAACAATGTCCAAGCAATACTTCAACCTCAGACACCCCAAGCTCCTCAGAGAATTCTTCTGTTTAATGCTTCTGAAATTATTCTTAGGCACTTAAATTCCTCAGATTCGCATACAGTGTTCCCTAAGAGTATCATACAATTTAACTTCTTATTTATATATAACACATACACACACATGATAAATATGGTATCAGTGTGGAAGACAGCCATACAGACTCCAAACAAAATGCACTTATTGTGTAATGCCAACGAAGGACTTCTGAAGACTGGCTTCATGTGTGACAGGTACGCTATTAGATTCTGTGTACAGTCAACTCTGAGAAGCCTATACTAAATTACGGTAGAGAAGGATCAAGTAGCAATGCTTGCTACAGAGCAGAGATCCACGAGGTCACATCCAGTGGAGAGAGGCAGTGCCAACAGTGCCCTGCCATACTGCTGCTGGATTGAGCTTGACCCACGTGGAAGGTGAGTGCAGCTGAATTAATTCACAAAGCAAACAATACACTCACTTGTACTCTAGCAGGGACACCTTATCCTGACAAGAGCCTCACAGTCTTACCTAAAACTTAGAATGTACTCTGATTCTCATTATCACCAGCACTGGCAGGGAAGGCTTTCAGAATTTTTGTACAAACATACATACTTTCTCTGTAAAATACTCATTTTCCTTTTAAAATAACTGCTTTGGAAAAGATAAATATACTTCCCCCCCCCCCCCATTCCTAATAATATAGATACACTTATTTAGGTGATGTTAGTGACTTTCACTGACAGTCTAGCTTCCGAATGTCACGT